TTGGACCTGGAGAAATTGACTTTGGATCTAAAGACACGACACAGATCGCTGTGTAGAAAACCCAAAGTGTCCATCTTGATCCCTGCCTCCCGTGACTTTGTACAGTGGAAGTGCTTCAGAGACCTAGCTTTCCGTCTCCAACGCCTGGTCCCTGGAGCCTGTAAGTGGCACACGAGTTCAGAAAATGAAGCCATCGCTTTAGTGTAGGAGATAGGCAAACCTTCACAAAGGAGGAGGGTCACAAAGACTGCATTCAAGTGGGCAGAGGGGAGCTGAAAGGGGCTGCCTGAGCAAAGGCCCAAGGACGGGGCCCTACACACACAGTCCGGGAGCCCCGGGGGACTTTTCAACCTTTATTCATGAAAATAAGTAGCTGCCTGGCAATTCCCTAAGAGTGAGGGCACCAAGAGCGAGGTCTTCCAGGGGGCCCTTTAGTTGCATTCCATAAATTCAGAATGACGCTTTTATGAGACTGCCTTCACCTAGAATACACTCAAATTTAATCTGGGGATCTCCTCACAGTTCAGACCATTACAAAATAGCTGGAGGCTCCGGGGTGAAGCCATCCATCAGCACAGCAGAAAGTGCACGGACTGCGATCTGGCGAGTGTGGCAATGCCATTCCCTGGCTCTGGAGAGCACACGCTATGGTTTTCTATCCTGGTGGTGTTTTGTTGTTTCTGCAGCACAGGCGGGATTGAACCCAGGACCTTCAGCCCCAATCTGGACCTTTATCACCGGTCCTTTATAGTTTTTAATTTTGAGGTAGAGTCTCACTAATTTGCTGAGTTGCCCAGGCTGAGCTGGAACTTGGGATTCTCTTGCCTCAGCCTCCTGAGGCACTAAGGTTAAAGGCATGCGGGTACCGCACTCAGCCTGACCTTGTCTTTTTAAATTAAAAAGTAAAGTACTGTGCATGCAGGGGTTAGGGTGAATAAAGCTGAGAATTTCAAAAGATTAGTGATCCAAAATAGTGTAAGAAAAATGTCTTAAAATAAGCAAATCCATATTCCCCAAATATCCTTAAAAACTAACTATATATGATCTCCTTTAAGAAGGAAAAAAATTACAGAAAAGCAACTTAAGATTCTGGAGATGCAAAGAATAAAAATCACTTTTACAATGATCCCTTTTACACATTATATTGACTGCCAGATTCTCAAGGAGAATTTAAAAAGGCAATACATAATCATGTATTCTAATCTTTGGGGGCATACTGGGAATTGAACCCAGGGAACACTCAGCTACACCCCAGCCATTTTTATTTTTTTTAATTTTGGGACAGAATCTTGCTATTTGCCTAGGCTAGCCTTCTGAGTAGCTGGGATTACAGATGTGCGCCAGCACTCTTAGCATGTTTTTATAATTAAGTAATTGACAAGTGACACAGGAACATTGTTCGAAAAATTAACATTCTGAAAATTCAGTGGTTAGCAATTTGACTTTCTAAAAAGTTGCTAAGTTTGACAATATTTTGAGCATTTCCTTCTTATCTGTCTACAATGGCAAGCATCTTCAACTGGAACATATGTTTGGGTGGACAAGTATTTTATTTGGCAGCTACCTAATAGTTTAAGTATAGATTTCAAAATCAAATGTTTGCTCCATAAGCAAATGTTTTCAAACAGAAGCATTTCTCACAATTGTTTCTCAAAACAAATGTTTGTCTTGGAGCCAGCAGAGAAAGCCAAGCATTTCCCTAAACTCCCGCAGCACTGTTTACCACTGCTCTGTCGCCTTCAAGATTTCCTATTGGTCACATTTTCTTATAGATCTCCATTCGCTGCTCTATAGAGCTAGTCCCAGAAAGTAGTTTTTAAGGACAAGTGCTAACATTTCAACATGATTTTTTTCCCCATGAAAATGGATTGGAAATACATGCACATGGAGCAATACTGCATTTCATTTGTGTGGGAAACCGGTTTGTTTTCAATAAGATTATTTGCATTATTTTCATTTCTAGATGCAGAGTTTTGAAAGGGGTTGATAGGAGCCCGTCCACTCCCTTCTCTTGATGACAAGGAGAAAAGATCAAGTAGGGGTGACTCTGTGAACAGGTAACTTTGTGTACATGCGTTTGTGTGAAGATGGAGGATCACAGATTTTCCAAGAAGTGTCTTTAGAATCAGGGCTGAAATGGTCTAGGTGTATAACTGAGGACTCTTTCAAATTCAGGTGACAGAAATTAAACTGGTCTCAAGCTTTTTTTTTTAATGATTTGATGGTTATGGGTTTCAGTATATATGGATGGCTGGGGATTTAGCTCAGTGGCACCGTACCTGCCTTATAGGTACAAGGTCCTGAGTTCAATCCCTGATACAAAAAAGAAAAAAAAATGCAGTCCAGGTATATATGGATGGATTCAGAAGATCAAATATGGTCATGAAGCCTCAGTGTTTGTTTATGAGTGTTGTTGTCTTAGTTACTTTTCTCAATGCTGAGACAGAATACGCAACACCCAAAGTTAAAGGAGGAAAGGTGTAGTTAGCTCACAGTATGTAGAGGTTTCAGTTCATAATTGGCTGGCTCCAAGGCAGGGTGGTGTGGCTGAGGGGCATTGCAGAGGAGAAACAGTTTATGGCAGGCAGAGGCAGTAAGCAGCAAGTGACAAGTGAGAAGCAGCAACCCTCTTTGTGTCCCTTGTATCTTATCCAGAGTACCCCTCCTTCGAGTGAGTAGTACCCACCCAGGGAGGGATACCTTAATCTTAGCATTAATCAATCCCAGCATCACACACCCGCCATCCAGTCACCCCAGAAAAGCTCCGTGCATGACTGCATGAGGCTTTGGGGAGACAGCTAGATACAAGCCGTAACTGTTGATTTTGTTCCATTTGTGCTGAATTTAATCTCAGGCAGAATCTTCCAATATTTTTCTATACTGCAATTTCAGAGAAATGATCACTTGTTTCCTAATTGTTCCAACAAAGGTTCTGAAATTGAGTATTAACAGACTCATTTTTATGGGTCACCCTCCTAGTCCTGGACTAATTATGATAATGAAGGATATAAGATATATAATATATATATATTGATATAGGGTTTGAACCTTATTCCTAACCAAGGCATAAAGACTTGGGTTGTCACAAAAATAGTTTTCAAAGAGAAGTTGGTGCTATTACTAAAAGGGTAGGAATGAATATTGAATACCTAAATAGCAGGGGTTACCTTGTGCATGCTCATGGCTACAGATCCCTTCTTGTAAGGAAAATTGCCTTCAAAGTACTTACAGAGAATCTCTATTCATTTCTTGGGACCATCAGCAGCAATTCTTGGCCTTCTTTCCTGAAGCCACCATTAAATGTTTCCGAGGTGCAGAGCCTTTACTCTTTACTTTGGGCTCCTAGAGAAAATTATCCTGTGGCACTAACAGTTAACTGACCCAGGTTACATCTCCATCCTTGTCTTTGCTATTTATATTGTAGTGTTGGTTTAGAAGTACTCAGTGAGGTACGTAGAAATCCTCGGGTGAACAGTCTAAGAAAGCTTTGAAGAACAGAGTTTCTGCTGCCATGCCCTTTAGACTTTTGGCTTTTGATTTTTGCCCCACCTCCCTTCTTCCATCTTGGAATGTAAACACGATAATTAGAGGTGCAGAAGTCATCTTACAATGCTAAAGAAGGGTATGTGCTAAAGATGGAAAACCCCAGAATATAGGAGTATCCCAGGTCCTTTTTGAGTCCCAGCCTTGAACTGCTATCCTGAAACTGCTTAAACAAGACAAATTAACGCTTTTCTTGCCATTGAATGCAATCTTAACCATCATACAAAGCTCTAAATCATCTGTGTAATTCATAACATAGTTTTATAGAAATATTTTATTAATTACGCACACTACTTCATGGCTCTATATTTTAATTATTCTAATAGGAGCACGGTTTCTCTTCCCTTGGAAGGTTTATACTGTCAACTAGCAGTGTTATTAGACATGCAATTTGAGTTGTGATCAAAATATATGGTGAGTGTTTCATTTTTTTTTAATTGTTATAAAAACAATTCGCCATTTTCCCCTTCAAATACTTCACCTTGATTTGAACACACTTATCCCTTTATTGTTGCCACTTTCTCGTGCAGTTCTGGGAGTCCTTTATCGTGAGTGCTGTTACGGTTTATACCTAGATGTCCCTCCACATCCTCATGTGGTCCTAGGTGCGGCCTTGGGGAAGTGACCGGGTCATGCACGGTGACGCTCACGGGGTTGTCCACTGATGACTTTATAGTAAATGTGATGTTGAAGGTGAAGCCTGGGTGGAGGAGGTGGGCCACTCGGGGCGTGGCCTGGAAGGGCCTAGCTCTGTGCCTCCTTGTTTGATCTCTCTCTGCTTCGTGCTGCCATGCCATGAGCTGTTTATCATCTGCCATGCTGCTCTGCCTTGGAACCAGCAGACTATAGACTGAATCCTCTATAAACCGAAAGCCAAAGAAGCCTTTTCTCTCCTAAGTAGTGGTTATCCAAAAGTAAGCGGGGCAAGTCTCTACAAGGTGTTATTGAAAATACACTTAACACTTCTGCTGTGAGCCATCCTATAGAAGGGCAAACTTGTAAAAAAAAACCATTGTGATGTGTCCTCAGTCACCGTGTCCATCAGATCTGGTACCACGTGACTTCTGGCTCTCCCCCAAGTCAAAATGACCATGAAAAGTGAACTTTTTGAATCAACGCAGGACATCAGGGCAGCTATGACGGTGCCACTAAAGACACGAGAGAGGATTTCTAGAGCTGCCTCGGAGAGGGGTGAGAATGATGAAGTGAATATCTTTGAAGTAAGAGGATATATTCTGAGAAGGGTTGATGGCAAAGGATCTTTTACTATAACCTTTTTAGAGATACTTTTAACATTAACCGTATTTTTCAATCACACCTTGTCCAAGCCCTGACGTGACTCTTAAGGCATTTGGGCTCACACTTGATTTCAATACTTCAAACTAATAGCTGTGTGACATTGGACAAGTTGCTCAATATTTCTGTAGTCCAAGGAGCTCATCTGTAATCTCTAATGTTACCAGCATTCAATATGTCAATCCTGGGAAATATTTAGGACATAGAAACACCACATATGTGCTGTATCTCATAGACATCGCTGCATGTATGTCCCATCTTACGTACACGCTGACTTACCATTTTGTGCTTCCTACCTTCTGGTGTCCTGGAGGTGATCCAGTCAACCTGTCACAGAAGCAGCGCATGACACGATCACTCAGATGGTTCGGTGTTCCAGTACCTTGTCTTTTTTTCTCTTTCCATCTTCACAGAGCAAGTACAATGGGCTCCAAGGATGACTAGCACTTTCAGAATTATGTCATTAGTTTACTTACTCAACTCTGACTCAACAATAGGGTCGATTATATTTGTACCTCTAAATGGTTATAAATCACAACCCTGCATATCTAGATGGGTGTCATGAGGTCAATCAATGTGCCATCTCCAAGTTCCCACTGGCCATATACCCTCATCCTTTGGTTTTCAAATTGACTCCAGTCTCTATTCACAAATGACATCATCTTGTATGTAAAATCCTAAGGAATTCACAAAATAGCTCTTAAAACTAACAGAATCAAGTGAGTTCAGCTAGGTTGCCGGATAGAAGATCAGCATACAAAAATCAGTTGCTTATTCTGAGCTTTGGTTTGAGGGCCCTTCTCTCTATCCTGTACTTGCCGAAATCTCATCTTCCAGGACTCTGCCCAAATTCTGCTCCTCAGTTCACCCTGCGGCTTCTGCTCACCCTTCCAGTAACTCCTATTGCTCATGCTCCCCACAGCACTTGTTTGGCACTGGCTTTCTGGACTGTCATGTACTCCACTCAACTCTGAAAGAACCAGGAACTTGGTTGGTCTTCGCAGAGTACCAAATAATCTGAGAAATCAATCCAATTAATTTTCAGCTACAGAAATATGTGCTATATTTATCTCTCGTGAAATCACAAGGTGCTAGAGAACAGGGACTTAGCTTTGTTTTCATCTGTTACTCAGTAGCCTAACATGCGGTTAGACACAAAGAAGCCCTCATCAAATACTGAATCACTGTTGAATGAACGAATGTGTTGGGGAATGAATGGATTAATGAGGGTGCACATAAATAAATCTACACACAATACATGAACTGGCCCTAAACTCAATCACATGGAGGGTTATCAGAGGCAAAACCCAGAGTCAAAGCCAGACGGCCTCTCATGATGCTTACTGACCACTGCAGGAGCAGAGGGTAGGACCGGTAACCTGGAGAGTTTGAGTTCACCTCCTGTCTGTTTCAACAGTGGGCTTTCACAATCCCTGACTAATATTCAGAGCTTATACTGTTTCACGATGCTAATGATAAACAGCTACAAACTTAAATATGTCCCCAGTTAGGAACTGTCTGTACTAAATCCTTCTTAATGTGGAGGGGTCTTTGCCCGGAGAACCCATACAGCTCTCACATAGCCCTCTAACTTGCTCAACTGCATCTTTAAAAACAGTTCTTCCAATGAAGGGAGGAAAATTAAAAGATTCCTTCTCTCAAACAAAATGACCTGATAAAGTTACCACATCACAGTTATCTCTTTTAGGACTTCCCTGTGGCCTCATAATTTCCATTAAGATCTTGTAAGCACAAGCCAGAGTGTGCAGTCTGTTTTCTCTTTAATGGCAAATGCCAGTACACAACTGTGGCCCGGCAGAATGTACTCATAGCTCACATAGGAGCAGCACTGAGTGTTATCTTGGGGCCGAGAAGTTTGAGTTCAAAACATTACACAATCTAATCTTCACAGAGAAAAGAATCAGGAACTTGGTTGGTCTTAGCAGAGTACCAAATAATCTGAGAAATCAATCAAATTCATTTTCAACCATAGGGCTTTCATGAATCCCAGGTGGAATGCAGAGTTTGGAAATAATATCAGCTTGGCAAAATGGAGGAGATTTTCACTTATTAACTATACCAAGTTACTAAATTTCTGAGTCAAAATCAGCAAACGTATGTATTTGGAAAGGAAACCCTTCCTAGCTGAATGCTAGCATACTGGAGTGTAGTGAGACTTGGAGTAGATCAGAGAGACAGAGATCTAATAAAAAAGAAAGGAATTGTGACAAGGAATACAGAATTTCTGTCACTTTTTGGAGGAAACAGAATGCCAGGAGCAAGGAAACTACCTTGAATTTGCCTTGTCTGTGGCCTGCACTGTCCGGTTCATGACCAGCATGTATCGTCTTACAGATGTATGGCTTGGGACCAGTATTCTGGCTGCAGTTAGTTTGACCAGGAATGGGAGCCTAGTCCACCATGGCTGTACACATGACTAGGTGGCCTTGTCCAAGATCTCTCCTAGAGACAAACTTTGCTAGTGGGGGCCGGCTGACTAACTGCACCTCTTCCCTTGCGCTGGGTGATTGTGGGATACAGTCTTTGCTTCCATAAGAGCAGGTTCTTTGGGAAGAGAAAACAAGAAGCTGAGTCCCCTCATAGTAGCACCGTGGAGAAGAAGGAATTGAAAGATGCCAGCTGCTGGGGCGGGAGGTATAGCTTGATGGTAGAACACTTGCCCGGCACGCGTGGGGCTCTGGGTTTGATCCCCATTGCTGGGTTAAAAAAAATGTCAACTACTGAGACAATAGGATGATCATTCACTAGAGTTGTGCTGCTCCTTAAGACACCAGAGGTGCCTGGGCTCCTTAACTGAGGCATTGAATGAATGGCCTTCTTTTCTACCCACAGAACTGACAAATACCACGGCACTGTGCAGTCTTTCCTTATCTGGGGTCTTTGGGGTGCACAGAGGCCATTCAAGTGTCCACAAGTTCGACAGAAAAAAAAAAACGGTTCATCGAGCATTTGCTTGTGTTTCTTTCAGACTCAGATTTCTTTAAAAAGGCTGAAACTGGGTCGGGGATTTAGCTCAGCAGTTCGGTGGCCTGCCTTGCAAGCAAGCACAAGGACCCGAGTTCAATCCCCGGTACCAAAAATCAATCAATCAATCAATCAATCAATCAATAAAAGGCTGAAATTAATCATCCAATTCCTTATCTTCAGCTCTTTGTCTGAAATGAAATGCAGTACATGCTGTAAGTGTTCAGGCTGACCACTGTGTCAAAATGAAACTGAGGGCAGACAAAATGAAAGAGTTTTGAGAGAAGAATTGGTAACACCTAGGAAAGTCAGGAAGGAGTTGTCTGTGAACAGTTTCTCGAAAGGAACTAGAATGTAGTACTCAAAGGGTGCCGGCTCAAGAATTTTGTCAGTATTTGTGATTCCAGAGTCTTAAATGTTGAAAGCTTAGATTATAGTAGGCTGACTTTAATGATCCGTATTTTGACCTAGATTTGGGTCACAAACTACTCATCATTTTTCTTCATGAAGAACATTTGTACTCAGGAGAACAAGCTTCGTTAGACTATTTCCTTATCATAAAAACTGGACGGTTTTATAAGACAGCAGGGCGGCCATCTCATGGGCTTCACCTTTCTATGCTTGTGGGATGCTTCTACCCAGGATCCGGAAGCTTAAAATCCAGTCAGCTAGAGGCTCACATTCTTTGAACTCAAGAGCTCAAGAGCAACATCTGTCAGATGGAGGGAAGAACCACATGCTGATTTATTACCAGAGGCACCAGCAGGGGCTACCAAAGCAATAGAAGGAACAAATGTGCAAAAGACCTCTCTCCCTATTTCTGTTATGTGCCTTTTATTTTGTTCTTTATCGTTTTGATTTCTCACATATCAGAAACCATGTGATATTTAAGCTAGTATGATTTAACTTCTTTCACGTAACATTATGGTGGCAAAGTGCATCCATTTTCCTACAGAGGACGTGATTGTCTGTCTCAGAGCACAGTAGTACTCCATTAGGTTTAAATACCACACTTCCTTTATCTGCTCATCTGCTGATGGACAATGCTTCCAAGATTTAGTTATGACTTATGGTGGCTACTATAGGTATGCCAGGCATATATCACTGTAATATGATGTCTTTAACTTTCGGGAAGATACCTATAGGAGAAGGGGAATAGCTGGGTCAAGTGAAATTTCTATTCTTAGTTTTTTGAGAAAACTCAGTATTGATTTCCATAGTGCTTGTACTAGCTCACTTTCCCACCAACAGTGAAAACGGTTTCTTTTTCCATACAGCCTCTCCACAATGTGCTATTCTTTGATTTATTGATGATGGCCACTCTTTCTGAAATAAGGTGAAATTTCAGTTTTGTTTTAATTTGGATTTCTTTAATGACCAGCAATACTGAAAACCTTTTCATGTCTTTATTGGCCATTTTGTACTTCTTCTGAGTGTCTCTTCATTTTAGTTGCCCCCTTTTTGACTGGATCTTGGGGAGGGGTCTGATTTTTTTTTTTTTTAGTTTTTTTTTTTTTA